CCCCAAAACCCCAAAACCCCAAAACCCCAATGAATAAGAAATTAATTGAATTTATTGATTCTTGACTCTTTATCAGATTCCAGCAGTATAAAACTAGAAAATTGCATACAGTATCTGTTACAGGCTTAACATTAAAAATATTCCAAAGGTATTTTCAATTTCATAAACATTCAAAAAATTGACCATTCAGACCAAAGCTCTTGAAGCAAAATCTTGGTTAATGAAGAACCTAGAGAAGTTGATCCTGGGAAAGGATAATTCACCACAATTGATCTCCCCATTTGGAACTGCCACGATTCGACATTTCAAATGAAATGAAGTTGGGAAGTACGTCCGGAAAAACTACGATGAAGAAGTAGAGGAGAAGATCAAACATGAGAAGTACCAAAAGTCTCTATTTGATAAGTTCAAGCTCACCTCTTGTCTAGACCTCCTCCAGAAGCACAAACCTAAGCTTACTACTGGGTGTAAGTATATCGATGAGTTCCTGAAGGGAGGAATTCCTTCTGGAAGACTTTTCGAAGTCTTCGGAGAAGGCTCTACAGGCAAAACTCAATTCATTTGTCAATTGATGATTCATTCAGTCCTGCCTGAAGAGTTTGGAGGTCTTGGTGGTAAAGCTCTAGCCGTGCTCACAGGTAAAACTCTCAGTGAGAAGCGCTTTAATGAGATCAAGGATAATATCCTTGAACAAAACCCTGGCAGTAAGACCTGTGATGAGGTCGATCGGGATCTCAAACTGCTAGAAATCTCACAGAAGAATGTCTATGAGAGCTTCATGGAAGATATTGAGAAAAAAGTTGAGAATGATAATATAAAATGTCTCATCATTGACAATATCGCTTCCATCTGTGAAGCTTTCTCTGAAGCCCAATATGAAGAAGATAAGGAAGATATGATGAATAAAAGAGAGAAGAAGGAAGCTGATAAGTTCCGTTTCGAGAAAACCAAGGATGCTTTTAATAGCCTCAGCAACCCTAATACCTTCGGAGAGAACGAGAATGAAGAAACATCTCATAGAGATCCGCCGATGATTGATTACATCAAACGGGCTGAGTTTTTAGCTTATAATGGAAAAGTTCTGAAAAGACTTGCTGAGGAGAAAGGAATGGTGGTAATCACGGTAAACACTGTATCTGCAGATATGGCATTCAAGAATAACGATGAAGATCCCACTAAAATGTTCACAGAGAAGTACAGAGCCAGGGCGAATTATAAGGCATCCCTAGGAAACACATGGACTTACCAAGTAAATGATAGAATTTGCTTCCAAAAAATCCAAAGGAGCTCAAATAACTTCACTAGAAAACTAGTTGTCGACAAATCATCGCACTGGCCTCATGTTACCATGGAGTTTGAAATCCACGAAGGTGGTATTAAAGGTGTTATTAAATAATTCCCAATAACTTTCCTCAGATCTGACTTTCAATTATTGATACATTCAAAGCCAAAATCCTGAATATTCTATCAATAAAATCTGCTGACTCTTAACCGTTCCTTCAGTGATATTTTCAACTAAAAAGTAGTGGTTTATTGTAAACTTTGGAATTTTTCAAAAATCTTAAAAATTAGTGAATTTTTGAACAGGAAAAATTGGATTTTATAGAAGGATTTTAGGGAATTTCCCTTGGTGGTGAGGAACCCAAGAGGCTTAGCTTACATTACTGGGAGGTATAGGAGGGAGTAATTAGGGATAAAGGTAATTAGCCACCCATGAAAGATATTAGGATTATTTGGGTTAAAACCATTTGAATAAATTAGTTACTTTTTACAGAAATCTCCTTTAAATATAATCATTATTTTAGTTCTAAGGTTCTGGAAAAGTTTATAGTAAATAGTAAGTCACAACTCTTGTTTTGCTTATGTTGAGGTTGGCAACTGGGCTTGTGGAACAGCTTAAATAAACACCCAGGTATTTCTCAGAGATTTATAGTCTGGTGTCTTTCATGGTGAGTGTGAGTTAAAATTTGTTATTGAACTCATTTGATAGGGTTCTTTTGTTTGTTTTAGATGCACTTTGCTAACTCACTAATTTAAAAGCAGCTAGCTCAACGTGTTTGTTTGGTTAACTCCGCTGGAATTACATAGAATTTTTCATTGTCACTCATGATCATTAAATTTCAAACTGGCATTTGATCCAAACACTCAGACACAAACAAATTTTCAGTGCCACTTAAACTTAGTAAGTCATACTTTGTTGCGTTTAATATTTTTGAAGTCAGCCACTGGCTGCATCATAGGGCTCACGTTGATTGCTGTTTCTTACATGAACTTAAGCGTATTGAAAAGCAAATTTAACAGAATCTTCTTGAGCTAGATTTTTCAGACCTCAATTGGATGCTCTAATACAAATAATCTACCATGAAATTTAGACTAAGTTGATCCATGTTAGTCTGTATCTCAAAAACAAAACCAACTTTGGCTAACAATTGTATGTGCTTAAAAGTAGGCATCTAAACTTGAAAGACTTCATTCTTGATCGAAAAGAAGTCGAGTGCGTCTCCGATGAGTCTCTCTGAATTATCTCATAATGAACCTACAATTAGGCGATGCTCTGCAAGAGCTTTATTGATGTGAAATTTCATTAGTTACAGAAGCAGTTACTTCGTATTAATCGGAGTCTCGAGCCCATACAAAAACTTTAAGACCACCTGCCACAAACAATTTCTTTAGACTCCTGCCTCTTCAAGCTAGAAGACCTGAATGATATCTATAAACATTTTCAAGAAAGTAAGTTTGCGATATTAATTGTGACCCATTTAATTTTTAAAAATCTTTCAATAATTCTCACAAAATAAGGGGTTTTGGGGTTTTGGGGTTTTGGGG